GATGGTGAGCATTTTTCTTGTACTTATTGATTGATTGTATGTCCTCCTCTGAGAAGTGTCTGTTCAGGTCCTTGGCCCATTTGTTGATTGGATTATTTGTTATCTTATTGTCTACCTTATCCTACCTTTGTTATCTTATTGTCTACCTTATCCTTCAAACAGTAGCCAGAGAAATCTTTTCAAAGCAATAATCAAGTCATACCCTCCAGATGCTTCTTGTTTCTCAGAATAAAAGCCAAATTCCCATTGACCTTTTCCTTCACTTTGCCCTTCACTCAGAATAGTCCAGGTACGCTGGTCTTTCTGTTCCTCTAATATCAAAGTTTATTCTGTGCTTCTCTCCTGGTCCTACTACCCTTGCCCCAGATCTTCCATAGAATTGCCCCTTCAAATTATTCAAATCTCTAGGATTCCCTTCTCTGGTAAGCCTGCCTTGCCCACCTCAGCTACAGTAGCCCACCAGTTAGTTATCACTGGTTAACTTTGTTTTATCTGATTCATAATACCTTTGCTATTCAAAAATTGTGCTTATTTTCTTATATCATTTTCTCCCTTCTTTTCAATTTAACCTGCTTTAAAGGTAAATGCATTATCTGTCCTATTTCAAGCCTTAGAATCTGGGACGTATTAAGTAATACTTAAATATGTGGTGATGAATTGACTGATTCCCTTGGGTCTGATTTCATGATTTCCCAGGGTCTGCTCTCTAGATTATCCCTTTCTTTTTCTTTTTTTTTTTTTCTTTTCTTTCATTAATCTAGTGCTCTTTGGTCTCTCGTTGTATCTTATATTCCATATATAAATGTACCCGGTACATACACACACACACACACACACACACACACACACACATTCTTAACACTTTGACCCAGTGTCTCCATTATTGCGTGTGTTGATTTCTTTTTTATTTTAATTAATTTATTTTTTAGTTGTAGTTGGACACAATACCTTTATTTTATTTATTTACTTTTATGTGGTGCTAAGGATAGAACCCAGGGCCTTGCACGTGCTAGGCGAGCACTCTATCGCTGAGCCACAACCCCAGCCCCACACGCTTGTTGATTTCGAAGCTAAACTTGTTTTAGGAAGAATATTTATTATTTAGTGTCTCCTTTTTCTTCCCTCCCATGCTTTGTGCACTCCACAATGCAGCACTTCTACCTCCTAACTTTACCACACACTTCAAGATATTAGCCAACATTCTTGCTGCTAAATATTATGTATATGTCATATTGTTTACCTTACTTTACCTGTATAGAACACTTTGTGGTTTTTAAAATGCTTCTGTGGTACCATTCTCCTATACTGTTTAGCTTTCTGCTTGCTGCTTTTCAGACTTGATTCTATTGTCTTTTAAATGTCAGAGAGTCTTCCCTTAGGCCCTCTATTCTTGTTACTGATCTTAGGTGTTGTCTGTGGCTTCATTTTTTGATCACCTTGCTGATGTCTTCCAACTCTATTTGTTCAGCCCACATCTCTCTTTTGAACTTCAGATCCACATTTTTCAAATATGCCATGATTGATTCCTCTTGCCTCTTGTTTTTATGGAAACATTCTCCCATTCTTTGATTCTCCCTCTCATTCACCTGACATCAGCTCAGCCATTCATGATTTCTCAAATCTGAATTAGGCATGTACTCAGATTATCATGTCATGGTCGTCATCAAATAGTATTGCAGGCACTTCTCTACAAAGGGCATCTGGTATAATTCATTATTGCCATTGTTGGCATAGTGAGTGCTGTTTAAACATATTTTAAATGAATGATTTAGCCTGGGGAAGTTTAAGAAGTCCTTATGCAGGTTAAAATATATGAGCTAAGTCTTTAAGAACAGAAATCAACAAGAGGTATGCATCTAGTTCATGTCCTTTTTGCTAACAATTTACAAAATCCTAATACTGGATAGCACTGACTGACTTTGTTTTCACAATTTAGGAAAATTTTCGACCCRGGAATTACTGTATTCTGAGCTAATTATCTCCTTTAACCAGATATCTCATCATGCCCTTTTTAAAAATTTTTACCATATTACAAGAAAAGGAGAGTCATTCTTCCTTTTTATTGTTTTGCACTAAGCTAACAAAATTTCAATTTTATCTTAATGCAAACATAGGAACAATAAAGTGATCACTTAAAGTGCTGACACATTCCTTTAAGAATTTAAAGGAAATCCGGTGGCACATGCCTATAATCTCAGCATAACTATAATCCCAGTGTCTTGGGAGACTAAGCCAGGAGGATTGCAAGTTTAAAACTAGCCTTAGCAATTTAGCAAGGCCCTAAGAAACCCCTGTCTTTAAATAAAATATTTTTTTAAAAAGGGGCTGTGCATATGGATCAGTGGTAAGACCCCTGGGTTCAGTCCCCAGTCTAAAACAACAACAACAAAAAAAAAAATAGAAAGATGTCTTTACCCCTTTCTCAAATTTTTGGTTTAAAAACTTTTCTGGGAAAATAGTTATGAAAAATAAAAAGTGAATTACTATTACTTATAAAACTTGTCTTTTTCATTGTCATTGTCTTTTGTTTCAAGTATTTTAATGGTGACATATCATATTCTTTAATCTAGGAACATGTACACTATCAGTTTATTTTTATATGAAAATTTATTTTGTGTTCCCAACAACAGCCAATCTACAAAATGAACTTTTGTCATAGAATCTATTTTGAATAGGGAATTCTTCATTTCTTTAAATCTATAGGTCTTTGTTAGTCAATTCATGAAAGTATACTAACAAGACAGGTGAAATTCTACTCAGTATACTTTATTGTATTTTATTGTATCTCTAATTCTATAAAACTGATAATTCATGTATATCAAATATAATAATTATGATAATTATAATCAATTATCGTATGATTTTATGTAGTAATTTATTCCATGTGATTTTTTTACCCCTTTGAATATTGAATATAATAAAAGAAAATGTAAATATAGATAAGAATTGATGATACTTATTTGMTAATAATTGTCAAACACAAATACATGCTATGCTAAAGGAGACAATGATTTCAATTACTAGGGTAAAGAATTGAACATTTCAGCTGTTTTGTATGTATGACTTCTGTTTTAGAGATATTATATTTGTTACTTAGGAAAGGTCTCTGAGAAAATAATAGTTTTCAAATGTTAGGCACAGGAGAAGAAAGTTGCATTTGCAAAATTTGAAGTATTATACTTCTTTCTTACTCATAAAAAACAGCCAAGTTACCAAAATATTCTGAATTTATTATTATAATTTTTGGTACTATATTCTCATAGCATAGAATTATTTGTATAAGCATATTTATGTATTTTAGTTAAACTTGCCATTTTTTTTTATTTTCTTAGCAAAAAGTGGTGTAGAAGAAACAATTTGTTTTGCAGTGTAAAACAATTCATTTACACTTTCAGGGCTATTATATGCAAAATGACATATTTCATCCAGATAATTTTTGGCAAGTTGTAAGTTGAAAGAATATGATTCCTTAATAAACCTTATTGAAACTTAATCTCTTTCTTAAAAACCACATTGCTTTCAAAACTATGTAAATATTTGCCTTCTTTTTTTTTTTTTCTTGTTTGTAATAATTATATCTGTCAGATGCACTGGAACACCTATATCAGTCTAGCCTTAGAAACTTAGAGCCTGTCTCAAAATAAAAAATAAACAGGTCTGGAAATGCAGACAGTGCAGGTATACTCTGGGTTCATCCCCCGATACCATAAAAGTAATTCATTGTGCTTTATCATGATTTTTTTTTTTTTAAGTGATATTGATGTTTGGGTACCAGAACCAGACCATTCAGAAGTTCCTGCTGAGTGGTGGGACTTTGACGCTGATAAGTCTCTCCTTATAGGGGTTTTTAAACATGGTAAGTAGGAGTTAAGGTAGGGGGAACCCTATCTATGTACAATGTTATTCAAATAGTTCTCAGTTTATTGATTTCCTCTTATAGCTTTATTCTTATAATACTTTTTAAATATATTCTGTATTAGAAAGATAATACTATCAAACTAGGTCCATCAGTTACTACATTTCCTCATTAGAGGGTGGTATTCATGACCTTTCTCTCTCGGATGTACATTTTACACATTTCCTCTCTCAAGAAAAATTAATTTATGAAATGTGTGTGTGTATGATCAGTTTATTCTGTTTTTCTTAACAGAATTTTATCTAAGTTTTTATAAATAATTATTATCAGATCATGTAATATTTGTGATAATTTCTAGAAAATATGACTCAATTTTTCTCATTTTAATATATGGTCCCTTTAGTTCAGGAATATCACCCACCAAAAATATGAGAATGCATATATTTATATGTCTTCCTTCTTTTAATCTTTTTTCCTTTGTAATTGATGACACTTTCAGGATATGAAAAATATAACACTATCCGAGCAGACCCAGCATTATGCTTCTTGGAAAGAGTGGGAAAACCTGATGATAAAGCAGTTGCTGCTGAACAGAGAGCCAATGATTTTATGGATGGGTATGTACATTTCAGAGTCATGAATTCTCCGTGTATGTCTTCTGTTCAACTCAGTCAGGTTTATCTTTAAATGATGTAGAAATAAGATAATTAATTGAAGTTCAAAATCTCAAAGAGCTATTAATGCTTTAGTATTTGACCATACAAAGTAGGATAAGGAACAGATTGTATGACCTGTTTTGGTTTTGGTGCCTAGGATTGAACCCAGGATATTATGCATGCTAAACACATGCTTGACCACTAAGCTGTACCCCAGCCCATACAATTGTCCCCCCAACCACTTGGTACTGGGGATTAAATTCAGGAGAGCTGTACACAGTAGCATATCTCCAGTTCTTTTTATGTTTTATTTCAAGAGAGGGTCTGGGTAAGTTGCTTGGGCTGGCCTTGAACTTGCAAAAACTTCTTGCCTCAGCCTCCTGAATCTCTGGRATGACAAGTTGCACCATCTCTCCTTACAATACCTGTTTCTTTGATGAGTCTTTTATGTTTTTCACTCTAGTAGTGTATCATGGCTACTAGTCCATAAAATTCTAGGGACAAAAGAGGGAAAAAGAATGGCAAGAATATAGTAGTTGCAGAGAAAGATGATAATTGTTCACTATCCCTGTTATAAGGCCTTACATCATCTTTCGATTCTCCCCAAAAGAGAAAAATAGGAGACATTTCAAGGATAATAATAGAATACATTTAATATTGAATTGGGAATAAGAATAAATTGGGGGGCTGGAGATGTGGCTCAAGTGGTAGCGCGTTTGCCTGGCATGCGTGCGGCCYGGGTTCGATCCTCAGCCCCACATACAAACAAAGATGTTGTGTCCGCCGAAAAATGAAAAATAAATATTAAAAATTTAAAAAAAAAGAATCAATTGGTACTAGCTCTTTTTTACTTGCCATATAGTAGCATTTATGATATGGCTTGCCCTACTTTAGCTAGAAAACAGATTTCATTTCGATTCTTAAACTAACAGATTCTTCCAGTGAAATTTCATTTGTTTGTTCTGTAAATAGAAATCATATTTGTTAAAATAATTATAGCATTTGTTGTAATTTTAACAGGGATGTGGAAGATCCAGAATACAAGCCTGCCCCAGCCATCTTTAAAGATGATATAGAGGTATGGTTTAGATCATATTTTAAAATTCGGCATTTTAGGTGTTCCTTGGTTTCTCTTCTATGCTTTTCTTTCAAGTTTTTCCTTTGTATGTTTTCTGTATATATGATTCTTCTGTTTCTCAGAAGATTAGCTAAGCAAGTGATCAACTTCAGTTGACAAACATCACATGATTATTTTGAATTTGTTTGATCTCCTCTCCTAGACAAAACAAAAGCTGATTTGGACATGTGGCTGTTATGGATTTTGCCCACATGCTACACATCTTCGAGCTAGGATAAACAGTGTCCAAGGCCAAAATTCCCAAACAAAGTAATAATTAGATGCTAAAGGCTTACAGTAAGAGAAACTGTATCTACATAAGGTGGTTTGAAATAGAGGATAGATCCTAGAGGAATTATAAGCAGCTACAGCATAGTTAATAAGTGTTCTATTCATAGAATTTCAAAAGGAAGAAGAATTAGAGGAAAATAATCCATGAATGGGGAAAAGGATGTTGAAGAAGATGAGGATCTCTATAATATTTATGAGAGTATGGTAAAAGACTAGATGTTACTTCAGTTTGTCATGTTCCTCATGGTTACTAAGAACATTAAATATGAGAATGACAGAGAAGATTCATGTCAACGTGTATTTATAATGTGAACTAAAATACTCTATGATGTCTGGACTCTCAAAGGCCAGTATTTTTTGGACAAACATCACAAGATAAGAACAGGGAAATTTATTTCAACATGGGTTCTGGGTAGGAAAAAAAAATATTATCTCCATTAATAATTTATAACCATAAGACTACCTTCTTATGGGTTTATGGTTTGGTTCTTTTACTTCATCTGCTTAATCCAGGAACCCTCGAGAAAAGAATGTAAATAAACAGGAGGTCCTTAGCTAGGTACAGTGTCACATGCCTGTAATCTTAGCTACTCAGGAGGTTGAGGAACAGGAGGGTCATAAATGTAAGGCCAACCTGGATGAATTAGCAACATCCTGTTTGAAAAATGCTGGGTGTATTGCTCAGCAGTAGAGCATTTGTTTAGCAAGTGTCAAACCCTAGGTTTGATCCCCAATATGGGAGCCAGGGCAGGGGCAGGAAAAACAACTCCATAAGCAACAACTTCTTTAATGCAGATTATATGATTCCTGAAGATGAAGCCGACATTTAAAAAATACATGAGGAAAAGTTTGCCATAATGCCCAGAACAGTGAAAGAAAAAGCTGCTTTTATGTGAACTTCTGCAGACTGAGAACTTCTGAGCCCCTCCCCTTACATGCTGGGTATAAATCTCTGAACCTCCCTGAACTYGGGGTTCAGGGGATTGATTGATTACAGCAAAGGCTGTACCCTCTGGACCTGGCTGCAGCCAAATAAAACTGTTTCCTGCTTAAAAAAAAAAAAAAGTTTGCCATAAAAGATGTTAACATATAACAAAGAACAAGTTTAGAGTTCTGAGAATTTTTTTAACTGTTGTTTTTTTTTTTTTTTTTTCGGGGTGGGGGGCTACCGGGTAATGAACTCAGGGGCACTCATCCACTAAGCCACATCCCTAGCCCTATTTTTTATTTTATTTAGAGACAGGGTCTCACTGAGTTGCTTAGTGCCTCACCTGTGCTGAGGCTGGCTTTGAATTTACAATCCTCCTACCTCAGCTTCCTGAGCCACTGGGATTATAGGCAATAACTTTTTTTTTTWAAATCTTGATCTTATTTGTTAATTTTAATTTTTTAAAATATCATTTATTGTGAAAGTTTTTTGGATTTTTTTTTTTAGAGAGAGAATTTTTAATATTCATTTTTTCAGTTCTCAGCAGACACAACATCTTTGTTTTTTGTATGTGATGCTGAGGATTGAACCCAGGCCGCACGCATGCCAGGCGAGCACACTACCGCTTGAGCCAAATCCCCAGCCAGTTTTTAATTTTTTTTATGTGGTGCTGAGGATGAAACCCAGTGCTCCACACATGCTAGGTAAATCACTACCTCTGAGCCACAACTGTAGCCTCTAGAGTCTTGAGAATTTCTGATAATGCATCCATTGAAATAGAAAATAAGCAAAATTTTAAATGATTAAACACATAAAGAAAGAACCAGGAACTAAATAAAAGACAAGATGATTTTAAAAGACTAGGAAAGCCAGGTACAGTGTCATATACCTGTAATTCCAGCTGCATAGGAGAAATGATTACCCTGGAAGTTTGAGGCCAGCCTAGGCAACATAGTCAGACCCAAGAAATAGACAAGGAATATGTGAAAAATTATTGTATATACATGTAACAATGGGAAATGTAGTCATTTCCATTTAAATAGACAAGGAATATGTGAAGAAATAGACAAGGAATATGTGAAAAATTATTGTATATACATGTAACAATTAGAAATGTAGTCATTTCCATTTAAAACTCACTGATTAGGTTAAGCATTTTGTTAGACAAATTAGATATACCTCATGAGAGAAGAAATGCTTTGTAAAACAGATTTAAGGAAATTCTGAAAGTGGTGTGCAATGGCTCATTCTGGAGTAGAGAGAAACTACATGGTAATTCAAACAGTTTAATGTAAATAATTATTTATTATTTTGTGATTGCAATAATGAAAGAATAGTACTGAAAGTTACAGAGAACTCTAAGAGGGTAGGATTATGGCTCAATGAAAGAGCACTTGCCTCACACGTATGAGGCACTGGGTTCAATCCTCAGCACCATAAATAAATAAATAAATAAATAAACAAACAAACAAACAAACAAAGGTATTGTGTCCATCTACAACTAAAAAAATATTTTTGAAAAGAGAATTCTAAGAAATTTAGGAATCATGAATTGAAGGAGCATCTTCCTCTCTTAGGACTAAAGTAGAGCATCCAAGGTAGAGCCCTGTCTACCCAGAGCCTCAGCCTAGACTTTGTTGGGAGGACATTGCTATGGCTCATTGAATGGCAAAAAAAAGTTGTTATGCTGCTATACTGATTCCCACTTGCTGGAAATCTGCCCTCTAGAGTTGCCAAGGAAGTTATATGGATACTTTGTTGTAAGTCTGCCCAAGTCAGAGGTAGCTGGGGGGAAAAAAAAATTGGGGCCAGTAGATGCTAAATAAACTGCTCAAATTACAGGAAGTGGGTACTCAGGAAGCATCTTATATGGTGAGAGCTGAGCTCACCAGAACTAGAAAGGAAAAATCTTTTTCTCCTATGTGATTTCTCTACTTCCTTCTGTTGACAAAGCTTAACATCATACTGGCTAATAGAGGAAAACATATTTAAACAGTTTAGAGAGGCAATAAATATTGAGAAGAGAGATGATTAATTAATTAACCAGCACAATGGAAAGTATATTATCTAAAAAATTTCCAGCTCTTGAAAGATATGAATCCCAGATTTAAGAAATAAAATGAGTCTTTGTAAGATAAATGAAACTAAATTCACTCTATAAAAACATCCTGGAGTTTCTACAAATAAGACAAACAAAAGAAGTTTTAAAACATCAGCATCAAGCCGGGCTTCATGGTGCATACCTATAATCCCAGCAGCTTGGGAGGCTTGAGGCAGGAGGATCCCTAGTTCAAGGCTAACCTCAGCAATTTAGCAAGGCCCTAACCAACTTAGTGAGACCCTGCCTTAAAATAAAAAATAAAAAGGTTTGGGCATGTAGTGGTAAAGTACCTCTGCATTCAATCCTTAGTACCAAAAAGAAAAAAGAAAGAAACCATCAGAATCTCCTTGTTATGAGGCAGTGCAGCCACAGTCCAAGTTGGATCTGTTTGGGAAGGGAGAGAAAACAGTAGCTGGCATCCAGGGAAACTTCTCCAGGTGAGTGGTACTGGAGAGGTGTGTAGGACTCTATGTGGCCAGTCACATAAAAATAATAAATAATTCAAAAAAAATTTTTTTAAAGCCATGATCAGCCAGTTGCAGTGGCGTACACCTGTAATCCTAGCAGTTTTGGAGGCTAATGCAGGAGGATCACAAGTTCAAAGCCAGCCTCAGCATCTTAATGTGGCTCTAAGCTTAGCAAGACCCTGTCTTGAAATAAAATGTAAAAAAATGGCTGGGGAGGTGGCTCGATGGTTAAGCACCACTGGGTTCAATCCCTGGTACCAAATTAATTAAGAAGAAGAGATGCCATAATCTGAAATGAAACAAAGAGCCCTTCTACACAGAAATTATGATAATTCTAACTTCTAACTTTTCTAAAATGATAATAGCAATTAATAGACAATGAAAACAATTGCCAAAGTACTAAGTATAATATATTGTTAGGCTGCCTAATTGAAGATGCTCTGATGATGGACAAAAATTGGAACTACAGTACAAGTAAACTATTCAAGGCTAAAAAAGAAAGGATTTGTAGGTTGGCAAATATGAAAATGAATAAACTTTTTGAGAGTTGGTACACAGAGAAAAAAATAGCAATAAATCCTATGACATTTGGAAAAATAGAGGATAAAAATACTGTTTTAAAAGTAATAATAGAAAAGTAAATAGTCTTAAGCAAACAGTGACTGGTCTAGAGTGTCAGGCTGAGAAATGGGAATGAGGTATTACAAGTTTTATTTTTGCTAAATTAATTATTAATTCTATTACAAAAAAACATTCTCTATTACAAAGAAGATTGATTCTCTGAACCCAATTACCTGTGGCAATTTTTTTCTGTTTTAAAGGATGATGTTTCCTCACCCGGAGATCTTGTTATAGCAGATGGAGGTGAGTTGCATTTAATTCTTTATTTTGTATTTTTGTAATTTCATGTTCTCATGACACTATGAGATCAATAAACAATTCCAGTTTTATTTGTTGCTATGTATGTAAATTCTTTATTGAATATATTTGTAATCATAAGATACATTCATTGATTTTTTAATTTAACAATGTTTTTAGTTGTTGCACATCTTTACTCAGTGGGTCACTGGGTTTCTGTAGCATTGATACTGGTGATTCTATGGCTTGATTATTAATAAACTTATATGGGAGACTTTATCAACACATCATCAAGTGTTAATGTAGCAATACATTCAATTTCTTATGCTTTCCATATGTACATGAGGAACCATCCTTTTTATTGTTTTTTAATTAATTTTTTAATTATATGACAGCAGAATGCATTAAATTCATATTACCCATATAGAGCACAATTTTTCATGTCTCTCATTGTATACAAAGTATATTCATACCAATTCTTGTCTTTATACACATACTTTGGATAATGATGACCATCACATTCCCAGTTATGTATAAAAGTTTCTACAAAGCTTTTCTGAGCATGATCCAAAGCTTCTACTTCCTTCCAATATTAAGAAAGAAACAAATTGTTGCTGGAATACGCTTATCCTTCCCTGGAAATCCATGCCTCTGCCTCCTATAGTTCAGCTAAGAAAGTGGGGTTGCTTAATGTGAATAGGTAAACATTAATTATATATGGCATTATTGTAATATTATACCTGTGAGCAAAGTATTAGATCCTATATTTATTATGTAAAGAAAATCTTAAAAGCTACAACATTATCATAATGAATTTCAAAGGTGTATATTCCTCCCAATAACTAAAAATGTTTTGTTTCTAATTAAATTGAGATTAATTTAATATGAATTTAAATATAGATGGTCAACTGATGGAGGGTGATAAAATTTATTGGCCTACTCAGTCAGCTTTAACCACACGGTTGAGACGACTCATCACTGCATATCAGCGTACTAATAAAAACAGACAAATCCAGCAGATACAACCAACCTTCTCAGTGCCTGCCAGTGTAATGCATCCTATTTATGATGAAGCCACTCTTAATCCTAAAATGGCAGCCAAGATAGAAAGACAACAGAGGTAAGATAATAGCACTAATTTTTTTTAAGGGGATATATCCAAGAAGTCATACATTCTAGACTAGAGTGCTATGTCATTGAACTATGCCCCCAGCCCCTAAGTATTTAATATAGTATTGAAATATATTTGTTTATTCTGAAGCCTTTTACGATGTGATTATCTTGCTAACTGATCAAAGTAAAGTTCTTTTGCAATATACTCACTTATATATGAAGAATTATGTTAAAACTAATAAAGATTATTGCATCTTATAGTTATTAGCCATACTTCATATTTAATCACTCCTTTCATTTTAGGAACATTAAGTTATTTTTTAAAAGGAGATGCAGAGCAAACCCAAGAATAAAGCTATCAATACAACAGAAGTTTGAATTGTGTGAAATAAATTCTGTTCTCTTACTTTATATTAAGACAATTACAGAATGTAAGAATATATGGAAAGCAAGTTCACCTCTAATTCATACAAGACTGTGTCCTTAGAAACTACTAGTGTTAATGAAAAGAAAATGCAAGAGACCTTGTAAAGAAGACGGGCAAACTTCTCTTATTCCAAAAGTTTCCAACTTCTTTAGAAAAAGAGTGCATGGAAAAGAATAGCAATGTTAATCAGTACACTAGCCTCCTTGTTAAACCTGGTTTATAGGATATTCTCTGGAACATAAATCATTGTGTGAAACCTAAGAATTTAGCTATCCTAGCTTAAGTTTTAAATATTACCTTTGTAAATATATTATTCAAGTTATCCAATGTATAACAGACTATCCTAAAACATGTTGAAATAGTATTCATTTGTTTCTTTTGATTGTTTGAGTTGACCAAGTGTTTCATCTATTTTGTATGCAAGCATAAGCTGGGGTTCTGAAATAGATGGAAGATTGACCTCACTCACTCACATAGCTGGCAGTTGGTGCTAGTTGCCTGCTGGGAACCCTAATTGTAAGACAGATCATTCCAAACAAGAAAGTAGCAAAGCCAGTTGCTGCTGATTTCTTAAGACCCAGTCTCATCAATTATATAGTGTCACTTCTGCCGCTTTGTCTTGGTCAAAAATGTCACAGGGCCAGCCCAGATGTAAGGGAAAGGAAATAGATTCCATGTCTCAATGCAAACAAACAATTTATGGCCATCGTTAATATATTGTACACATTTTCCCTCAGTTTGTTGGATCCATATTAGTCTTCCTAGAATAATAAATAGTTTTATCATGGTGTTCAGTGGCTCCTTGTTTAAAATAGATATGAAATCTTATATTTTTAAGCCTAAATTCAAAGTTATTTTCAGTTAGGCTTCAGTTCATTTCTAACTTTTCTCAATATAATTCCTTTTACCAAAATGTATTACCTAGTCTTAACCTAGTACCCCAATTTTTTGTTGTTGTTGTTTTTATTTGTACTAATGATTGAACTCAGGGTCACTTAGTCACTAAGCCACATCCCCGGCCCTTTTTATTTTTTATTTTTTAAATATTTATTTTTTAGATGTAGTTGAACACAATACCTTTATTTTATTCATTTTTATGTGGTGCTGAAGATCAAACCCAGGGTCTCGCATGTGCCAGGCAAGCACTCTACCACTGAGCCACAATCCCAGCCCCTTTATTTTTTTATTTGGAGACAGGTTCTCACTAACTTATTTAGAGCCTTGCTAAGTTGCTAAGGCTGGCCTTGAACTTGTGTTCCTCCTGCCTTAGCCTCCTGAGTCTATGATTACAGGTGCTTACCACTGCCCCACTCCATTCCTATTCCATCCCTGTTCTTATCACTCAGGTCTAAGGTTCATATGAGTTGATTGGCTTCCTAGACTTGATGTTTTTATTTTTACATTGTCATTAATGTATAACTATGATTAAAAAAAATGGCTCATTAATATATTTCTAAGTTCTTTCTCATATGCTTTTTTTCACTAACACAATTCAGTGAGTTAAGCAAGGAAAAGTTTTTATAAATCGAARTACTAAAGTTTGGAAATCTGTGATTTATGATGATAACATTGCCCTTTTTAGGTTATGTTACCTAAAAAGAGGTTATTAAGCCAGGCATTTAAAGCATTTCATTATTTGACCCCGCTTTCTCTTGCTTTGTCGTGTGTATGAGCCATATCCTCGTCATCCCAACAAAATAAAGTACTTTATACTTTGCTTTTTCCATGCTATCTTTTTTTTTTTTTTTAAAGAGAGAGAGAGAGAGGGAGGAGAGAAAGAATTTTAATGTTTATTTTTTAGTTTTCGGCAGACACAACATCTTTGTTTGTATGTGGTGCTGAGGATCGAACCCGGGCCGCATGCATGCCAGGCGAGCGTGCTACCGCTTGAGCCACATCCCCAGCCCCACCATGCTATCTTACTAACACCGCTCCCCCATCTTATTATTGTCCCATATTACCTTGTGAAATGCCACCTACTCAGTCGTGTTTTTCTTAATTGTTCATGTCTGAACTGATCCTTTCGTTATCTGTCCCCTCCTAAAATTCCTTATTTCTTTAACTCATACAATAATAAATACTACCTTATACTATAAACGTGGTTGAAAATAGCTGGGCATGGTGGTACAAGTCTATAATCCCAGGAATTTAAGAAATTGAGGCAGGAGGATCATAAGTTTAAGGCCAACCTTGGCAACTTAGCAACACCCTGTCTCAATTTTTTTTTTTTTAAAGGACTGGGTAAGTAGCTTAGAGGTGGAATGCTCCTGGATTCATTCCCCCGCCCCCCGTAAGCCCCTCCCCGCCATAAAAAGTGTGTTTTAAAGTGTTAGGTACTACTGGATGTTGTGGTGAGTGCCTGTAATCCCAGCAGTTTGGAAGGCTGAGGCAGAAGGATCACCAGTTCAAAGCCTGCCTCAGCAACTTGGCAAGGCCCTAAGGAATTTAGCAAGACCCTGTCTCAAAATAAAATATAAAAAGGCCTGGCGATGTGGTTCAGTGATTGAATTCCCCTAGGTTCAATCCTCAGTAACAAAAATAAAGTGTTAAGTACTAGAAATGTTTTAAGTTTGTGTGATAGCCATTACATTTCAGTAATAATGTATATTGACCAATGTGGTTTTTACTTTAATCTGAATCAAAATAGATGGACCAGAAGAGAAGAAGCTGACTTTTATCGAGTTGTATCTACATTTGGAGTTGTTTTTGACCCTGATCGAGGCCAATTTGATTGGACAAAATTTAGAGCTATGGCTAGGTTACATAAGAAAACTGATGAAAGTTTGGAGAAATATTTGTATGCATTCATGTCCATGTGTCGGAGGGTTTGTCGTCTACCTTCCAAAGAAGGTATGTATAAATTTTCCCCCTTGTTTTGGTTAAAGAAGCAAAATCACTAAAATTCAGAAATATTTCAGAATTTTAAATAACCTATGCTTAAAGATCCTCCATTTCTTAATCATACTATTAAAATTTGTCTCTAAAGAGAATAAAAAATACTGAATGTTAAGATATTTCACATTTGACCACAGCTTTATGATTAGGAATGAGTGGAAGGTAAAGGATAGATTTTGCTAAACAGAACTAACCTATGTCTTTAGTCCATATTTTAGAAACTTTCTAAAGGAATTATTTACCTGAATAATTTTTCAAGAAATGAAGCCCCGTCTTGTGAGACATTTTAAAGAATTTTTGTATATGATCTCCACTTAGGGTTATCTTAAAAAAAAAAGATAATGAATTAATCTTAGTTAAGGAACTATTCTGGAATGAATTTTAATGTCTTCAATGCCTAGAGAAATAACTCATTCTCATCCTGTAGCAGTTCCTGTCAATAATGCTCAATATGAGCAGTTTTCTCTCTTTTTTTTTTTCACATTACCTTTTTTTTATTGATTGATTTTTTTGTAGTGCTGAGGAAGGAACCCAGGGCTTTGCATGTGCTAGCAAGTGCTCTATCCCTGAGCCACAACCCCAGCCCTGTCTCCATTTTTTTTATTGACTATTATTTAAGTGGTGGGGCTGAAAGTATGACTCAGTGGTAGACCAGTTAAAACATGGGCAAGGCCTTGGATTTGATCCCCAGTATTGCAAAAATATAGATGCACACACAAAATTTATTTTGTAGTTTGACCTCTCTTGTCCCTTGTGTGAGCCATATCATTCGTGTGTGTGTGTGTGTGTGTGTGTGTGTGTGTGTGTATGCATGTGTGTTTTTATAAAAGACATAAATTCCATGCAGGTTTCTATATGTGTGTTCATGTGCACACACAAACTATATGTGTATACATGTGGATATATACAAATATTTTTAGTTGTAGATGGACACATATATTCATTTTATTTGTTTGTTTGTTTATTTATTTATTTATGGTGTGATACTCAGGATTATACCCAGTGGCTCACATATGATAGGTAGTCAAGTGCTCTACCAGTGTGGGGGGTTAACGCCAGCTTTACTTATGTTTCTTATTTTAATTTTCTTTTATTTAAATGGATCTTTTGTTTGTTTGTTTATATGTGGTGCTGAGGATTGAACCCAGGGCCTCATACATGCCAGGCAAGTGCTCTACCATTGAGCCACAACTTCAGCCTCTTAATTTATTTTCTTACAAATGTTTTTGTCAGTCTGTCCAGTAGCTAATCACTTGATTACCCAAATACTAGCTGATGCAAGTAGGTTTCATTATACTTTCAGGTCTGTTAAAAGATAGTGTTATGTCCTAGTGATCTAGTAATTATTTGAAAACATAATAGCAAATACTGAAAAAAAATTAAGTATTTGTATTTATTTCTTAAATGTCCACAATTATCTCCTAATAGGATTTATGTACCTTTGGGGTACTATATAAATTCTCAAATTGTGATTGTAGTCTGTACCAATATTTCTTTGACTTTTTTTTAATACAGTGTTGCTTTTGTTTTGAATTACATTTAGACTTACAGACAAGTTGCAAAAATAAATAAATAAACAACAAGTTTGCATATATTTCTCACCCTGCCTCTCCCAATGTTAAAATCTTAACCTAACTAATTATAATCATCAGACCAGGAAATTAATGTTAGCATAACTCCATTATACACATGGGATTAGTTCTAGGACATCAGAGAATATTAAAACCCAAGGATGCTCAAGTCCTTAAATAAATTGGGTAGTATTTACATATAACCTATWTATATTCTCCTAGAGTTTGATTCATGTCTAGATTCTTTTTAATACCTAATACAATATAAATACTATGCAAATAGTTGTATTATTTAGGGAATAATTACAAGGCATAAAAGTCCATACATGTTTAGTACAGATACAAGTTTTTTATTTTCCATCCAATGTTAGTTGAGTCCATGGATGCAGAATCCATGAATGTAGGAGGCTGACTATTGTTGATTGAACTTTACCAGTTTTTTCACTAGTGTACATTTTTGTTTCAGGATTCCACATTGTAACTGGTTGTTCTTTCTCCTTAACCTCCATAGTTTGTAACAGGTTGTTAGTAATTTTTATCTTGGTACCTTGAAAATCATTGAATAATTATTTTGCCATATATCCTTTGATTTGGGTTTGTCTTGTGTTTTCACATGATTGGATTGAGATAGTGTATTTTAGGCTGGAGTAACAGAAATTATTTGTCTTTCTCACAATGTAGTTTCATGTAGTTCAAGATGTCAGTCTCTTATTACTGATGATGTTGATTTTAATTGTTTAGATAGTTTATGATGTGTTTTTCCACTATATTTTTGCCCCTATAGTTAACAGATATCTTGAGGAGTCTCAAAAATCCAATTTCTTCTCAAATTGTCACCCATTGATTTTAGTATCTGTCAGATACTAAATCTTATCTGTAATAGTTTTTCTATAGAATTCTGCTTCAAGGAAGAACTGTTTCTTCTCCTTCTCTATTTAATCAATTACTCATTCCTATCAATATAAATTCATGAAATTTTATTTTATTCAATAGATTATAATACAATTTTTTAGCTGAAATTATTCCAAATTTGGCCATTAGGAGCTCTCTACGTTGGTCCCTACAATATTTTTAAGTGCTTGCTAAATACTAGTAACCTAGATTCACAAATATATGACCTCTTCAAAAGTAATGGAACACAATCTAATGTTGAAACTGAAGTACCTCCAGCTGGTAGTTTGTATGGTATTTGGCAGATATGCTTGTGTTTCTCTCAATTTGAAAAATTCCTTGGTTCTCCTATGAGTTCACTGTGATGCCCTAAGTTACTTGTGCAGTTTAAGATGCCATTTTTTTTTTAAGTTGGACACATACCTTATTTTTATTTATTTATATGTGGTGCTGAGGATTGAGCACGGTGCCTCACACACGCTAGGTGAGTGCTCCACCGCTGAACCACAACCCCAGTCCTCTATTTTTGTATTTTTTTTTTAAAGGAGAGAGAGAGAGAGAGAGATGGACACAATGCCTTTATTAATTTTTTTTTTTAATGTGGTGCTGCAAATTGAACCCGGGTCCCGCCCATGCTAGGCGAGCACTCTATTGCTGAGCCACAATCCCAGCTCCTCTATTTTGTGTTTTAAGTGAGTTTAAACAAATGTTTTTCTCCTTGATTAGTTTATAGGGAATTTCTTAAAAGTAAATTTCTAGTTAATTAACATACTTCAAAAATAGTCTTACTTTTTAGTTATTTTAGAAGATCTGTACGTTGTGTTTTGTTATTGATTTATTTAGATACTGGTGATTGAACCCAGGACCTGTACATACAAGGCAAGCCCTCTACCAACTGAGCTACATCCCCAGCCCTATTTATTTATTTTACTAGGGATTAAACCCAGGGGTGCTTTACCACTGAGCCACATCCCCAGTCTCCTTTCCTTTTCCTTCCTTCCTTTTTTTTCTTTCTTGAGACAAGTCTTGCTAATTTGCTTAGGGCCTCACTAAATTCTTAAGACTGTCCTCAAACTTGTGATCCTCCTGCCTCAGCCTCCCAAGTCACTGGAATTACAGGCATGTTCCATCACACCTGACTAATCTTTCATATTTTTTATTAATTATTTTTAAAATTTTTTTTTTATGTAAAAATATTAAAAAGAAATTTTGGAAATTGCACAATGATACCGAGTAGAGGTGTGTTTTAGACGTTATGTTATTTCTTTTAAGTCTCTAATAAAGTATATTTGAAGTTAAAATTTTTGTCTTTGTTTCAATGCAGAATTGGTAGATCCAAATATTTTCATCCAACCAATCACAGAAGAACGGGCTTCTAGGACTTTGTATCGCATTGAACTTCTAAGGAAAGTACGCGAGCAGGCCCTTCGACATCCACAGTTGTTTGAACGCTTGAAGCTTTGCCATCCAAATCCAGACTTGCCAGTCTGGTGGGAATGTGGCCCTCATGATAGAGATTTGCTTATTGGCGCTGCTAAACATGGGGTCAGCCGAACAGATTATCATATTCTTCGTGATCCTGAGCTCTCATTTATGGCAGCTCAAAGGAACTACAGTCAAAGTAAGATGACTCATTCAAGGACGTCTACCCCACTTTTACAGCAATACCAAGTAGCACTTTCTGCTTCTCCTCTTACCTCTTTACCTAGGCTTCTAGATGCTAAAGGTATTATTCTAGAGGATATGAAAGTTAAAAGTGAAACCCTTAAAGAAGAGCCTCAGTCTTCTGAAGAAGAATCTATGTCTTCTGTGGAAACCAGGACACTAATAAAGTCTGAGCCTGTAAGTCCAAAGAATGGTGTTTTATCACAGGCTACTGGAGACCAGAAATCTGGTGGAAAAGTTGAAACAGACAGACGCATGGTTGCAGCCAGAACAGAACCCCTAACTCCAAACCCAGCTTCTAAGAAACAGAGAGTCCACAAAAGAGGATCAGAATCTAGTTCTGATTCTGACTCTGATTCTGAGAGATCATCCTGTTCTTCCAGATCATCATCTTCTTCGTCTTCCTCCTCTTCTTGTTCCCATTCTCGATCAGGCTCTAGTTCTTCTTCATCCTCATCATGTTCGTCAGCATCATCTTCATCTTCCTCCTCTTCTTCCTCCTCCTCATCCTCTTCATCTTCATCAGAAGAAAGTGACAGTGAAGAAGAGGAAGTCCAAAAGCGAGGTATATGCATAAAGTAATTTCACTATTTTTAAGAGAACTTTTCAAGGGAAAATGAAAATTTGATTTAGATAACTTAAGCATGCTTAAAATTCTTAGCTCAAATTTTATGCATACAGCTTTTCCTACAAATTCATTGTGTTGAAAACGAAACTAAAACTACTGGTATACGTTCCCTAATCAGTATGCAAGACATTGCAAAACAGATTAGTCAGAAAAAATTTTTACACAGTTTTACACAGTAAATTGCCTTACATTTGGTAGTATGTTTTCCCCTGGAACAAGTTGATCATTTAGCAAACAAAAGTTAATGTTGCATAACAATTACCAGGAATCTTAAATAGGCAAATAAGAGTATAATGGCCCATACTTGACACCTGTCTACTCAGAAGGATATAGGATAAGAACTACAGCTTGTCAGCAAGGTAGTGTTAGGTGGTTCTCTTCTGCAAGTATCTTTGCAAGTATCTTTCAGCCTCAGGAAAATGAGTCAACACTAAGCATGTGCTAGCTAGATCCACTCTGACTTAAGAGCCTCCTACCCTGCAGGAACCAGAATCTCTTATAACTACTCCTTAGGCATAACATTCAGGGTTGCCACAAAGAATAAGAATTATGGTACGCCCATCAAGTATTTGTATTTCTTTCAATCCAGATAAAGTCTTCCAATCAGAAGTCAGTCTAAAAGTAATGGTTACTTTACTGTAATCTAGGTGAATTTTTCCTTTTTTATAAAAACCATTTTTTTCTACCATTTCTTTTTACTTTTTCATTTTCAAATATCTCTGAATAATTACATTAGATTTTTGAAAGCATATATGAAGAGATTGGGAATGTAGCTCAATTGAAGAACACTTGCTAGCATGCATAAAACCCTGAGTTTGATCCCCAGCATTGCAAAAAAAAAAAATAAGAGCATATAAAATTGTCTTGTGCAGTCATTTTAAAATGATTATAATTATTCTTAGCAGAAAGTACCCCTCACATGAAAGCCTATGATGAAGAAAGTGTTGCATCACTGAGCACTACCCAGGATGAGACCCAGGATAGTTTCCAAATAAACAATGGGACACCAGAATCTGCTTACTTCTTACAGGGTGGATACATGCTGGCAGCTTCATATTGGCCAAAGGTAAAGGAATGATTTATTGATGTTGTAGCAGTTTTCTATGTTGCTATATAGTATTTTCTATATTGGTATTTTCTTATTATGTAAAAAAATAAGTAATTGTAAAATGTGGAATGACAGTTTGGCATTAGCATCAATATATATGTCATATCCATCCATTACATTAGTTCTACTTTAATGTGTATGCTTCTCAACCTAACTTTAAAATGTTTAGAGTAGCTTGGCATGGTGGCACACACCTGTAATCTCAGTGGCTTGGGAGGCTGAGACTGGAGGATTGCAAGTTCAAAACCAGCCTCAGTAACTTGGTGTGAGGCCCTAAGAAACTTAGCAAGTTTAAAAAAAAAAAAAAAAAGTTGGGGGATGTGGCTCAGTGATTAAGCATCACTGGTTTCAATCCCTGGTACCCCAAAACATGTTTAGAGTAAAAGATAATGAATCTTTATATTCAAGTTAATACATGCTTTCAACTGAGATGCTTTAAAGAAATTCATTATAGCCAATTCTGACCTTTAAAAAAAAGTGCATTTAAGTACATGAAGTATCAGTGGTAAAAAGCAGCTAAGACTGGATTAAAAATGGGTGAGCTCCACCTATTATGTTACAAGACTAGTACAGAAATCCTCAACTTTAGGGAATGAGTTGGATCTCCAAAAGTTTGTCCTAATTATTATTATTATTATTATTTTTAGTTGTAGATGGACACAATACCTTTATTTATTTAGTTTATTTATGTGGTGCTGAGGATTGAACCTAGTGCTTCACACATGCTAGGAAAGCTCTACCACTGAGCCCCAGCCCCTGCCTTGGTCTAATTATTAAAACTATCCTTTGATGTTACACACTTTTCTAGGATCGTGTGATGATCAACCGGCTGGACAGTATTTGTCAAACAGTTCTGAAAGGGAAGTGGCCTTCTGCTAGAAGAAGTTATGATGCTAACACAGTGGCTTCTTTCTATACCACAAAACTACTGGACAGCCCCGGAGCAGCTGCAGAATATAGCGAGCCCAGTGTTCCCACTCCCCCAGGTGCTGGTGTCAAAGAAGAACATGATCAGTCAACACAGATGTCAAAGGTGAAGAAGCATGTACGAGAAAAGGAGTTTACAGTGAAAATCAAAGACGTATGTGTATTTTTATTGCCCTAGGGCCTGATTGCGATTGCGGTGTGCAGCATGCTTTTCCTGCAAATGGCTGCCTGCTCTTAACTCTTCCTTTCTTCACATACTTGTCTTCTGGTATTTGCATTTTCTTTTTTGATATCCAGGTTATTAAACTTGAATACTCTACTAGAGGGATCATCATTAAATATGTTTCTCTCCTTATACTTCTGAAAATTGTTCTGCTGATCAAGATGCTTTCTTAAACAGTGTGACAATTTCTGTTTTGATTTTTTTTTGTTTAATATTTTAATATATCACTGTACTTCCTCTTTTAAACATTTAGCATGTCCTGTTATTATACTGTTTTGAATCTTGKTTGATTACTAGGTATCTAATATATGGGTCACATCATCTGAGTGTTATTATGAATAATGTACCTAGAGATGTATGACTAAAGCTGAAAATGTACTAGTACTGTTTTGCTTTGAAAAGTATATGGTACATGAATTTTTTTCACTTAAGATAGAAATTATTCATTGTAGATGTTTTTTATTCAATTGATTTATAAAGAAGATGGGAACTTCACTTATGTTTCAGGGTTTTACTTCACATTTTTTTTAATATTTATTTTCTAGTTGTAGTTGGACATAATACCTTTATTTTATTTATTTTTATGTGGTGTTGAGGATTGAACCCAGTGTCTCCCACGTGCTAGGCAAGTGTCCTACCACCGAGACATAACCCCAGCTCACTATTTTACTTTTTCTAAGTAAAAATTTTCTTTTACTATCCTATAATAAGATTTTTGTTAACATTTTCTGTTTTAATAATGGTGTCTTTTTAAACAGGAAGGTGGTTTAAAGTTGACATTTCAGAAGCAAGGGCTTGCCCAAAAAAGACCATTTGATAGTGAAGATGGTGCTCTGGGGCAGCAGCAGTACCTGACTCGACTTCGGGAACTTCAAAGTGCGTCAGAGACAAGCCTCGTCAATTTTCCAAAATCTATGCCTGTATCAGGTGAAATGCATATATTTTTCTTATTATGAAATATTTCCTACCATTTCAGAATTCTTTTATGATTCTCATAGTAAAAATTCATTTTTTTCCTTTAATGTCAGAACCAGTGTTAAGTCTATAACATAATAACTATAGTTTAAATTTTAATAAATATAGAGCTTTTAATATGACATTTTAAATCACAGAGGTCAGTTTAGTTTGCAGGCTTGAATATTTTGGTGAAGACTCTTTTTTTGTACCAGGAATACATAACCACTTAGCCACATCCCCAACCCTTTTTATTTTTTGAGACAGGGCCTCACTACATTGCTTAAGGCTTCAGTAAGTTGCTAAAGACTGGCTTGGAACTCCTCCTACCTTAGCCTTCAGAGGTGCTGGGATTACAGGCATGTGCCACACCTTGTCCAACTGAAGGCATCATTTTTGTAAAATTACTTCATACACATAAAGTTTAAACAGCATTTCAATATTGAAGTATATTGTGAATTCAAAAACCAACACCTAAACCATCAAACCTACCTGTAGTCACAGCTACTTGGGAGGCTGAGGCATGGGGATCATAAATTAAAAGCAAAACATCTAAGTCACAAAGTTAATAGTGATTGGTAGAAATTAAAATGAAAAATTTTAGAAAATTTAAAAGTTTTAAAAATAGTAATAATCCAGATAACTGTAGTATACAGGAATGAGTTATGACTAATCCCCAGAAGTTTTATCCTCRTGCAATTCTTGTAGGACTAAGATTATTACTATTTTAAACTGTCTTGACTGTTAGGCAGCTCTAATTGTCAGAAACTTCTTTTTGATTTGAAAGTAAATTTACCTCCTGTCGGTTCTTTTCAAAGATACTGCCTTTATAAGCAGTATAGAGTGAACCTTGTCTTTATGTCTTTAATATTTCTTCTAAAATTTTGATAAATAGAAACAATAAGTATTTACTGAGTATGTAAGTGGTACCAGGTGCCGTGTGCTCTATAGGTACTGAAGACATTGTTTCTATCCTGACCTAATTGTGCTTTGCCTGTGTCCTTTGTAAAGTTTTTGAGAATTGAGAATGACATTGCAGATCAACTGAGTCTCACATACTAAACTCCCAAAATACTAATTTCAGTTATAGCAAAGAAATGAGTTGAATTTCTTTATACCTTCATTATATAAGGCTAAGAACTCTATTTCAGTGTTACACAATACTTGGAAGCATTCCAGAACTACTGTATATTGCATGGTGTATGGAGTTCCTACATTTTAGGAAAACAAGGCTTTTTTATAAATGTCATCTTGAATTTATTGGTATTCCCAGTTGCTGCTACTATCACTTTTTAATTTTAAATTAGTTTATCTTTGTCAAGCATCCATTTTTATACAATTAGAGTTCTGTTATTAAGGAGTTTCTTTTTCACTAGAAAATGGGAATGGATGGGATGATAAAAGTGTGCTTTTGTCTAACCTAAATGGRCTTTAATAATATCACAACCCTTATCTTGATGACTCCACTATAAATGTACAGATTGACTCTGTCATCTGTACATTTTATTGATATTACTGTTGAATATTATATAGGCTTCACCTATAAATAATTCTTTAAAGTTTTTAATAGTATCAGTAGGAGCATTGCTTTTGCAACTATACAATAGGTTGACACTGTATAGAATTATTAAGTATTATGTCATCCTTTTTTTAGCTATAGATGGACACAACATCTTTATTTATTTTCTTTTTTAATTTATTTTTTATTTGTAGTTGGCCATAATACCTTTATTTTACTTATTTATTTTTATGTAGCGCTGAGAATTGAATCCAGTGCCTTGCATGTGCTAGGCAAGTGCTCTACCGATGAGCCATAACCCCAGCCCCTCTTTATTTATTTTTATGTTGTTCTGAGGATCAAACCCAGTGCCTCACACTTGAAAGGCAAGCGCTTCACCACTGAGTTCAGCCCTAACCCTCATCTGTCTTAATTGTATATATGAAAATCTGGAATCTGTCTTTTGGACGTGACTTTTTGGAAAGCTTTAACATTTTTGAGCCTGTTCTTATTTGTGAAATGATTAACAGGAATAGGAAAGAAGTTGCACTGTTGAGTAGATTACATTAATAAAGTGGCTACTAAAGAGCATGGCGTACAATTAGATACTACATAGATGTTAAAATTAGGTACTCCCAGAGTCTATAATTGGATGCTTAGCAAATGCTTTTATTGAAATTTTTAATTTTCAAAAGGCTGTACCTTTTTTATTCTTGTGATTACCTTTTGAATTTTATTTGAAAGCCTATATAAATACACCAAGTGAAATATAACTTAATTCATGAAGGAAAGTAAAATAGCACAGGTTACAACAAGAAGACAAAACTAAAGCACTCATTCCAGAAACTATATGGAATAGCAGATAAATGATGACAGAGCTAAGCAACCAGTGGTTGAATTCTGTCTTTTATTAACTCTTGTGACATTAAGCAAGTGACAATGCTTCTGATCTCATTTATAAAACAGACTTAATAATATTTCTGTGTTTTCATTCTGTTTTTGATGATTTATTAATGAATAGAACTATTTCATACCTCTTACAAATATAACTATTAAGTGCTTACTAAAATTAGGAAGGTCAACTTTAATTTGATAACTAAAACTTTACTGATGATTCTAAAGAAAATGTCTTAAGTAGGTTGGAGCAGGAATTAACAATGGGAAATTGAGAAATAAGTTAGTGCCTTTATTAAGAAGCAGCACAATATAGTTCAGTTTAAAAGTTTCAGAGTTACAAAGACTTGAAGAAGTTAATTTTATGTTTGTATTGGCCATAGTTTTGAGTTGAGAAGGAGAATCTGAAGAAAATAGAAATGACTGATTTTAAAAATAAGCTTTTAGAAACTAGGAATTAATGGGTTTGAGAGGGTTTGTCTTGAACAGGAGAAAGGCAAGCTTCCAACTCAAAAAGAGAAGACAAGTCAAAAATTCAAAGAAGCCTGTTAGACACCTCCAAGTTTAAAATTGAGAAACAGGGGTGATTTTTTTTTTTTTTTTTTTTTTTTTTTTTTTTTTTTGTAGTGCTGGGCATTGAACCCAGGGCCTTGTCATGTGAGGCAAGCACTCCAACTGAGCTATATCCCTAGCCCTAGGGAGTAGAGGTGGTAGTGATGTTTTATTTCAAGAATTGCTTGATTTATGATAATTAAAATAAGAATTAAACTTCCATATAAATTTAGAAAACTGATTACTTTCACTTTGTTTAAGAAGTAAAATTTTATCTCTATTTTGGTGTTTAATTTGATTTAATTATGTGTTTAATTAGGTACTTCCATTCAATCAACAATTGGTGCCAATGGAGTGATATTAGACAACCAACCTGTAGTCAAAAAAAGACGAGGAAGGAGGAAGAATGTAGAAGGTGTTGACATCCTCTTTTTTAACAGAAATAAACCACCTAATCATGTAAGTAAAGTAACTAAAAATTACTGATCCTTGAGTTCATAATTCTATCCCATAAATATACACATTGCACTTATGTGATTTTACAAATATAATGTTAATAAAAAATTAGAAGTGTACTATGTATTTTCAGGTTTTGTATTATTAGTAGAATCTGACATTGGATAAGATTCATGAAAATCTTAAGATTAAAATTTAGCAGAATTTAATGGAAGAACTTTTTTCCCTTCAATAAAGAACCACTCCCATGTCCATATGTGAAAACATCACAGTGAATCCTACTATCATACATGTTCACAAGTGTGGGATCCTAACTAGAATAAAATATATTCTGTGCTTGTATAATAATATCAAATTGGATTCTACTATCATGTATAACTAAAAAGAACCAAAAAAAAGAAAGAACTACTTCATTGAAGCATGTAAATAAATTTACATTTGGTGTTTTTCTGCAGGTTACTTTAGGTTTAACCACCTCACAGATTTCCACAGGGATAAATCCAACACTATCCTATACTCAACCTCAAGGAATTCCTGATACAGAAAGTCCAGTTCCAGTTATTAATCTTAAAGATGGGACAAGACTTGCAGGAGATGATGCACCGAAGAGAAAGGATTTAGAAAAATGGCTTAAGGAGCACCCAGGTTATGTGGAAGACTTAGGAGCTTTTATTCCTGTAGGTGATATATTTTAAGATCTTGGTATATATTATTTCTGTGATTTGTCAAACCCTTAATGATGAAGCGTAATTTTTCATCCACTTGTGCTAGATATTTGCTCTGCTTAAGATTTAGGAAAACTAGGGGCTGGGGTTCTGGCTCAGTGCTAAAGCACTTGCCTAGCATGTGTGAGGCACTAGGTTTTTTATTTTTAGCACTGCATATAAAATAAAATAAATTAAATAAAGGTCCATCAACAACTAAAGAAATATATATTTCTTTATAGTGTCATTTTCCACTTTCCATTCTCTATTCAACAGGTATTTAATAATAAAAATCACTTCTGATATGAGTAGCATGTTAGAACCAATAGAAATTGAAAGGTATAAAACTTCTGACACTTTCTCAAAGAATTTATTTTCTAATATTGGTCATAGTAAAAATTTAACTCTGTCTGCCATTATATTTAACTCCTAATATCTATTATTTCTCACCACTGTATTAGAATGGTATTATTGTGACTATTTTATAGATAAAGAAATTGAACCACTGGAATTTTAAGTAAAAAATCCAAGGCCACACAGCAAATAAAGTCCAAAATTGCACATGCTAGGCAAGTTGTCTACCACTGAGCTACATCCTAAGCCCAAAACTTCTGCTCTTAAGCTCTACTTCAGACCATAAGAGTATGACGTCTGTGTCTCTGCAGATGCACAAGTTTATGTTAATTAAAGATGAGAATCTTATATTTAGTTTGCACTCTTCTTAACCTCTGAAATACTATCTACTTATCTTATGGGCTTTCTTACTCAGAAATATTTATTTTCTGGAATTTTATTATCAGACAGTAACATACTAAATTTTGTGTCAGTATTTGTAAGATTTCTGTGTACTTTATAAGGTAAAAATATGGGCTGGGGATGTGGCTTAAGTGGTAGCGCGCTCGCCTGGCATGCGTGCGGCCCGGGTTCGATCCTCAGCACCACATACCAACAAAGATGTTGTGTCCGCTGAGAACTAAAAAATAATAAATATTTAAAAATTCTCTCTCTCTCTCTCTCTCTCTCTCTCTCTCTCTCTCTCTCTCTCTCTCTCTCTCTCTCTCTCTCTCTCTCTCTCTCTCTCTCTCTCTCTCTCTCTATCTCCCCCCTCTCTCACTCTCTCTTTAAAAAAAAAATAAGGTAAAAATATTTAGTTTTATCCTATATACTGTGAGCTCAACAGTCCTTTTCTATTTGCCTCCCTTATGAAGATCAAATGGATAACTGAAATGAAGTTTTCTGCTACCTCAACTTGGGAGGCTGAGATAGGAGGATCTTGAGTTCAAAGCCAGACTCAGCAATTTATCAAAGGTGCTAAGCAACTCAGTGAGACCCTGTTGGCCAAAGTTGCTTAGGCCCTCCCAAGCTGCTGGGATTACAGGTGTATGCCACTACAACTGGCAAATTGAGCATATTCAGCCAACAAATTTTTATTGAGTGACTACAATTTTAGTGATTGAAAATATAAGAGTGAACAACATGAAGTTTTTCTTTTTGTGGTACTTATACTCTAGTCTATGAAGGATTTCCATACCTTTATCTTAATCACTGTAAGAGTTTTTGTTAATATTCTCAATTTTGTATCCACTTATCATTTTCATTGCAAATAAAGTTTTTACCATAATGTTTTATGTAACTTTTTAATTAAGACTTAAAAACGTGTTTTTAAAAGGTGGCATTTATGTCAGGGTGTGGAGGTATACACCCATAATCTCAGCTGCTTGGGAGGCTGAGGCAGGAAGTTCAAGCCCAGCCTTGGCAACTTAGCATGACCCTGTCTCAAAATAAAATTAAAACAGGTCAGGGATGCAGCTTCATGGTAGAGCATCTCTGGATTCAATTTCCAGTTACTCCTCCCCCCACACATACACCCTAGACACAAAGGCAGCATTTGTTCCACTAAAGAATAGAAGATATGCCGAGCATGGTAGTACAAGCCTGAAATCTCAGCAGCTTGGAAAACTGAGACAGGATGATCATAAATTCATGGCCAGCTTCAGCCATTTAGCAAGGTCCTAAGCAATTGTTGGGACCTTGTCAAAAAATAATGAACAAAAATGGCTGAGTGTGTAGCTCAGTGGTAAATTGCCCCTGGGTTAAACTTCCAGTACAAAAAAAAAAAAAAAATAGAAGAATGGAAGATATAACTAAATAATTATGGTTCTGTCCATGGGTACAGATACAGGAACAATTGAGTACAGTACTGGCAGAAGATAAGAAATCAAACTGTTATCTGATACATAAAAAATGAACAAGAAGGCATTGACCAGGTTAACATAAGAGGAACATGTAGGCATTTTAGAAGTTATAAAGAGAGTTACAAGGGGATGTGACTGTAAGACATACTCATAAATCAGTGACTAGTCTGATATTTCAGCATATGTGGAAGAGTGAGTGCAGTGATAGTAAATGAATAAAAAATGTGAGTTGAATAGTATCTAGGCTGTGGTGGGACTGAAGAATTTGATCACTTGTTTCTTGGAATGTTATGATTGGTTAGAAATAATTACAAACATCAAGGCCTGCTTTTGTCAACAATTGTAGAGATAAGTAGCATGATTTGAAGAAAAGAGATTTTATATTATTGGATATGGTTTTTTGCTTTGTTTTGTTTTGCAGTGCTAAGGATCGAAACTCCCACGGTAGGCATGTTCTACCACTAAGCTATACTTCCAGGCCTGTGAATATGCATTCATAATCTGTCTCTTCCACTTACTAGTTGTATCCCCTTGAGGAAGACAACCTCTCTGAGCCTTACTGTCCCTTTTGTAAGATAAGAATACCTTTTAGTATTGTGAGAATTACATGACACGAGGAAAATAATTAGTGAGATGAAGAAAAATGAAAGTTACTAGCAGAGATTATAAATTGTCAGAGCACTGCGAAAGTCTGGAACATTTCTCCCAGAACATATCAGGAAGGAGAAAATTTAACAGATGAAAAAGTAAATAACTACAATTTAGAGGAAACCACTCCAGCATCATTGGTAACCCCTTCATGTATCACTGTCCAGGTGTTCTGTAGTTTTTGAGGGCATTTAAGGAAAAAACTAACAAAATCCTGCTCATTTCAAGAGCCAATAGAAGGCCCCTACTTTAAAGTGTGAATTACTAAAAGATAGATGCTTCCACATCATAGGATTAAATTTGAATCAGTTCAATTGCAATATTTTGAATAGTTTTGCAGAAGTACACATTTTAAAGATGTTTCTTTATCTGTTTTAGAGAGTGCAGCTTCATGAGGGAAGACCCAAACAAAAAAGGCATCGTTGCAGAAACCCCAATAAACTTGATGTTAATACTCTCACTGGAGAAGAACGCGTCCAGCTGATTAACAGAAGAAATGCCAGAAAGGTATTTATGTATTTGTGGTTAATCTTTAACATTGATTTAAATATGTAGGACTTCTCTTAGAACACCAATTCATTATGCATTATTTTGTAACAAAACCTGGAAATGTATTTAATTTAGCAGATTTGTGGGGGATAATAATTTTATATAACTTAAGTCCTGTATCAATGACTGAGCTATTAAATGAAATAAGCAAGCTTCTCAACATATCTGTATGTAAGCAGTGCCGTTGCATGTGGCTATGCCCTACACAAGGACACTACACCTAAGGCATTGGTTCACCTCACGAGGCAATTTTGCTCCTTCATGGCACATTTGGTAGAATCTGGAGGCTTTACTAGGAATTGAACCCAGAGGCTCTTAACCACTGAGCTCTTAACCCAGATCCCCAGATCTCCAACCCTTTTTTATATTTTATTTACAGACAGGATGTTTCTGAGTTGCATAGGGCCTCGCTAAGTTGCTGAGTCTGGCTTTGTAATCCTCCTGCTTCAGCCTCCTGAGCCACTGAGATTATAGGTGTATACCACTTCATCCACCTGCAGACATTTTTTATAACCATGAATGAGCAGAGTGGTGAGCAGGAGAGAGGGTGCTACTTGAATCTAGTTGAGTAGAAGTCAGTTAACCCAGRTGCTGCTAATCTTTCTGTGAGATTTAGTACAACCCCACAATACCAATCCAAAATGTCTATAGTGCAAGGGTTGAAAAAGTCTGATCTAAGGAAGAGACACATGGACAGATGTGTCTTTACTTGATAAAGTAAATAATACAAGATTTCTGACACCCTTTTATAAATGTAGCTTTGACATACTATTTTTTATTCTGATAAGTAAGTGATAAACTAAGAAAGAAAACATGGTCTGAGAGTAAGAACACCAACTTTCTAGTATTGTTCTATACACCAACTCTTTAAAATTAATGCCAGTTTTTCCTCCAGTTTTGGAGTTCATTTAGCTTTTGTTAGTATTTTACAGTAATAACATAGATGTGTTAGAGAAAGAATAAGGTGAATATTTAGTAGCATTTTAATCTTGCACTTGCATATATTTGTGACAAATCTTTGCTATAATTGAATTTGTCTTAACTTTTTTTTTCTTCTTTTGTCTTAGCCAATTTTAAGATGAAACAATTGTTACTTGTAGGTTTAATAATAAACATTTAAATTTTATTTTTAATTGTTGTAGCTTCATGTGGCTCCTGTTCCATTTTCCTTAATTTGTAAAGTTCTTTATTGTCTTGAGCCTGTGAGGTATAGGCTTTGCTTGATAAATTACTGAGGAAAAGAATCTTTTTACTAAATCCCCAAGAGGACTTCCAATTTAAATTGAGGATTAATGAACATTAATGAAAAAAAGAGAATGCAAAATAAATTGCACAGACTAAGGACACTTATAGGTAATATAGCTGACTACATCAAATCCTGTCTATATCCTATCAAGGATATATGTATGTACACATGTGTTAGGGATGTTACTCAGTGGAAAAGCACTTGCCTATCATGCACAAGGCCCCAAGTTTCATCCCCAGAACCACAAAAAAAAGAGAAAAGAAAAAAGAGATATAGTATATATTAACTCAAAAGGGTATGGAAAAGGAATTAAGAAGTATCTTTAGAATTCAAAGGGACATTAAATTGGTAAGTTCAAATCATTTATCCAAATGTAATTTTTATGTGGGTTTTTGTTTTTGTTTTTGTAGTGCTAGGGATCAAACTTAGGGCTTCATGCATGCCAGACAAATGCTATACCACTGAGCCACATCTCAAGCCCCCAAATAAAATATTAATTTAAGTCTCAAAATACTTGGTCTCAGGGCTGGGGATGTGGCTCAAGTGGTAGTGCACTCGCCTGGATTCGATTCTCAAAACCACATAAAAATGGGCTGGGGATGTGGCTCAAGCGGTATCTCGCTCGCCTGGCATGTGTGCGGCCCGGGTTCGATCCTCAGCACCACATACAAACAAAGATGTGTCCGCTGAAAACTAAAAAAAATTTTTAAAAAACACATAAAAATAAAGATATTGTGTCCACCTAAAACTAAAAAATAAATATTTAAAAAAATACTTGGTCTCAATGTTAGGCTAATTATTATATGTATTGTTTTTTATCTTTTTAAATTTACTTATGACTTTTCACAAAAGATATATATCATTTCATGCTCTTAGTGTTAATTTATATCATAAGTAAATAAGAGTATAGGTTTTTGAGATCTCAGTTTGAATTCTATCATTAACATTACTACCTGGCTTTAGACAAATTATATAACTTTTCCTTCATTAGGAAAATATAAGTAATACTTTGCCAAAAGGAAGTTGTAAGAACTAAAATATATATAAAGTCCTTAGCATAATATTGTCATATAATAATAATTTTTATTATATGCTAGATAGTATTCTAATACACTTGAATGAAGTCCAGGTATGGTGGTGCATGCCTATAATCCCAGTGACTCAGGAGGCTGAGGCAGGAGGATTAAAGTTCAATGCCAGCCTCAGAGACTTAGTGAGGCCCTCAGCAACTTGGCAAAACTCTGCTTCAAAACTGAAAATAAAAAAGGCTAGAGATGTAGCTCAGTGATTGAGTTCCTCTTTGTTGACCCCTCAGTACTGGATTCAGAGAGAGCCATAAGGGAAGTCTTATTGTTATCCTCATTTTACAAATGAGGAAACTGAGGCTCAAAAGAGATTTACTGATTTGTTCAAGTTCCTATAACTGTTAAGTCTGACTAGAGGCTATACTCTTATCCAGGTTGTACTACCCAACCAGCACAGTAAATGATAGTTCTTCATTTTCCTATTCTAGTTATTCCACTTAAAACATTTAAAATTTACATGATCACACATTTATATAGTATATCAATAATCCATATAGTTTCTTGTAGTCCTTTGAAATATAAAGATTGTTGAAGATGTTAAAAATATATATATTTCAAAGAAATAAACTCTGTACAGTACCAAATGAAAATAATATAAAAGAAATAGTTTTATATTCAATAATGTGCTAAGAATCTAACAATCTGTTTTTCATTTACAGGTTGGAGGTGCATTTGCTCCCCCTTTGAAAGACTTATGTAGATTCCTAAAAGAAAATTCAGAATATGGAGTAGCTCCTGAATGGGGAGATGTTGTTAAGCAATCTGTGAGTATTTCACAAATGCTAACTCCTCTCATTAAGTTAGATGCCATTTAATTGTTATTATGTTAATTACATAGTCATATAATATATTTAATTATATAATTAAAAGTGTACACACACAGTGTTTGTTTGTTTAGGTAATGGGGCTTGAACCCAGAAGCTCTGTGCCACTGAGCCACATCCCAAGTCTCACTAAATTGCTGAGAGACTAGCCTTGAACTTGCAAGCCTCCTGTCTCGGCCTTTTAAGTCACTGGGTTTACATGCATTCACCACTACACCCAGCCGTTTAATGATATCTTAGACTTTCAATTAAGAATTAATAAAATATTCTATAAACATGTAATGAGGGGTTGTGGCTATGGCTCAGTGGTAGAGCACTTGCCTAGAATATGCGAGGCACTGGGTTCAATTCTCAGCACCACATATAAATAAATAAATAAAGATCCATCAACATTTTAAAAATATATATATATATTTAAAAAATCAAAAAACATGTGATGATAATTTTTTTTTGAATACTGGGGATTAAATGCAGGGGTGTCCTACCACTGAACTACATCCCTAGTCCTTTTCTTTTTAATATTTTAGTTGTAAATGAGCACAATACCTTTATTTTATTTATTTTTATATGGTTCTGAGGATCGAACCCAGTGACTCACGTGTATTAGCCAAGCACTCTTACCACTGAGCTACAACCCCAGCCCCCCAGCCCTTTTTGTTTTTTATTTTGAGCCAGTCTTGCCAAGTTGCCCAGTGTCATCTTAAAGTTGTGATCTTTCTGCCTCAGCCTGCTAATATTAGTTCATATTTGTGATTTTCCACAACATGTCGCAAATTTCCCAGATATTTACTGATAGAATGCAGAACCAAGCTGGGTACAATGATACATATCTTTAATTCCAGCTAATGGGGAAGTAGAGGCAGAAGAATCACAAGTTTGCAGCCAGTCTGTGCAGCTTAACAAGACCCCCTCTCAAAATTTTAAAACTATAAAAAGGTTGGCAAGGTGTGAAGTCCTGGGTTTAGTCCCCACTATTACAAAATTCTTTWAAAAAAAAAAAAGAATCCAGAACCAATATATAATGGTTTGTTTTTATTTTAAGCACTGTTTGAACAATTTTATTAAAATAATAGTCGGATATGTGGGCAAAGAAATATATATAATGATACTTGCCAGATAGAGTAGTACAAACCCATAATCAGTAGTCTGAGACAGGAGTATTGCATGTTTGAGGCAACTTATTGAGAGCCTAAAAATAAAAAGGGATGCGGATGTAGCTCAGCGGTAGAGTAGCTCAGCGGTAGAGTGCCCTTGGGTTCAATCCACATTACACACACACACACACACACACACACACACACAAATACACAAATAAAATATTCATCATGGTATAATAGTTTCTAAAGAATTGGGAATAAACTTGTGGTCCATCCAAATATTGGAAAACTATGCAACTTATTTAAAAATTGTATCTTAGAAGAACATCTGATGACGAGAGAAATCATTCACGGTATATTAAATGTGATAATAGTTAACATCTTGGAGTAGTAAAGCTTCCCAACCATTTGGTAAATGGCAATGAAATAATAGTTATTATTTCTACAGGTTTATAGGTGTCCAACTGAAAAGGGAAGCCTATAAATCTAAGTACAATTAGATTTTTATTTTTTATCTTAGAAGGGGAGCTGGGGAGAATTGTAGAATGTGTTGTTAAGTGCAAAAGGTAATGAGAAATGCATCCTGAAATGTTAGCAGTAGTTACCTCTGAATGTGATGTTATTAATGATATCTTTTCTTTGTATTTATTGTCATGATTCTGTAGTGAATCCTAATGTAAAAAGAAGACAATAAATTGGTCTAGCTATGGATATAACTTCAGAAATAGAATGTTTGCCTGGTATGTTCAAGGTCCTGCGTTCAGTGCCCAGGACCAAATGAATGAATAAGTTCATCAATTCAAAACAAAATTAATGAATATTCCTGTCTTACACAGTGGTGTATACCTGTGATTCCAGCTACTTGGAATAAGATGGAGGATGGCAAGGTCAAGGCTAGCCTTGAAATCTTAGCGAGACCCTGTCTCACGTTAAAAATAAAAAATGCTCAGTGGTAAACCACCCCTAGGTTAATCCCCATTATCACAAAAGGAAAAAAAAAATTAGTCCCATTAGTTTTTCCTTAAACCCTACTATTTAGAGGTACACTGTTGCAGATGGTTATCCACTATGCTTATGTGGCTATTGTTGAGCACTTGAAATTTGGCTGGTATTGTGTTTTGTTTTGTTCTGTTTGGTACCAGGAATTGAACCCAAKGGTACCTAACCTCTGAGCTACTCCCAGCCCTTTTTATTTTTTATTATGAAACAGGGTCTTGCTAAATAGCTTAGTTGCTGGGGCTGGCTTTGAACTTGCTAGCCTCCTGCCTCAGCTTCCCAAGTTGCCGGGATTATAGGCAGGCGCCACCACGCCTGCTGGTTTTGGTTTTGAAAACTTCATTCAGAAAAAAAGAATGTAAAATACCTTAAGTTTTACAGATTACATATGGAAGTGATAATATTTTGGTTATGTTTTAAATAGATTATCTTAAAGTTAATATCACAAATTTCAATTTTGCCATTAGTAGTGTGTCAACTAGAAAATTTTAAATTACATATATGGCTTGCATTATATTTCTATTAGACAGTGCTGGTACAATAGTTCTAAACTAAAACTTCTAAGACTTGTGTGTCCCAGAAAATCACGGAAGAATTTATGTGAAAGCAACATAGATTCTCCATTGTTCTGCACTTGATGATTCCCAATGTACAGGTTCTACTGCTGTCCTGGCCCAAGTGATCTTTCCTCCTTTTGACTACCTTTTTCAGCTTCATTCTTATCTTCCTTATTACAAAGTAACTGTTAGTGAAATTCAAATGATACATCTCACTTTAACTTACTTCCCTTATCCTTATTGTTCTTTTAGATTACAAGAGGGCCACTCCTTTGGTCTTCTAAAATAAGTGGTAATGGGAAACATGTAAGGGTTATGAAAGTATCTGTGAAAAAGTTTCTTTGGATCATATTGTTTTCTGTTCTACAAACTTCATGCCTTACAGTAGGGAAGAAACTAAAGGCATCTTTCTGTTCTCTTTTTCTGTGATAAACTCAGAAGTGAAAGAGCTGTTTCAATCCATAATTTAAAATAGAAAAAAAAATAGATTATGTCTTCTATATTTGATTTTTTTCATGTCAATACAGAATAAGTATAAATCATTATTTTAATAGGCTACTTATAGAGGCTAATTGCTATTGATTTTATTTTCATACAGTTATTATTAACAAATTGTTATTGAATTATTAATGAATACATATTTCCTCCAGGGGTTTCTTCCAGAAAGTATGTATGAACGTATTCTTACTGGTCCAGTGGTGAGAGAGGAAGTAAGCAGGCGAGGGAGACGCCCTAAAAGTGGAATTGCAAAGGCCACAGCAGCAACAGCTGCAACTGCCACCAATGTTTCAGGCAATCCTTTGTTAACGAATGGATTACTTCCAGGTGTGGATCTCACAACTCTTCAGGCCTTACAACAAAATCTACAGAACTTGCAATCACTGCAAGTAACTGCAGGGCTAATGGGAATGCCTGCTGGCCTTTCTTCTGGAGGAGAAGCTAAAAACATGGCTGCTATGTTCCCCATGCTGCTATCAGGAATGGCGGGATTACCAAATCTGTTGGGCATGGGAGGACTCCTTACAAAGCCTGCAGATTCTGGGGCAGAAGAGAAAAAGGGAAATGACTCTAAGGAGCAAGAAGGAAAAAAAGAAAGGACAGAGAGCCAAAGTTCAGAGAATGGTGGGGAAAACTCTGTGTCAAGTTCTCCTTCAACTTCCTCAACTGCTGCATTAAATACAGCTGCAGCTGCCAACCCGTTAGCTCTTAACCCACTATTACTATCTAATATACTTTATCCAGGGATGCTTCTCACTCCAGGCCTTAATCTTCATATTCCAACTTTGTCCCAGTCCAATACTTTTGATGTACAGAAAAGCAAAAACAGTGACTTAGGCTCATCTAAGTCTGTAGAAGTAAAGGAAGAAGATTCCAGAGGTAAAGATCAGGAAGACAAACGGGGAACTGAACCAAGTCCTCTCAATGAAAACAGCACAGATGATGGTTCAGAGAAAGCTGATGCTTCATCTGGATCTGATAGTACATCATCATCATCCGAGGATTCAGATTCTAGTAATGAAGACTGATTCCCAGACTCTGCACTTAAATTATGAACTAATTTTGAGTTTTTTCTTTAATTGTAAATATCCCAGTGTTGAGTGCATCAATAACTTACTGACCGAACATTTCAGTTATTTGTTTAGAAGTGCAAACTGCTTTCAGAGACGTTTTGCATGTAATATTTCTTAAGATTCATAAGTTTCTGAACTCGTATGTACTATCAAATACATAAACGTATAAAACTACAACAAAAGGCATTATAATTTTGTTGGGGGTTAATTTTATGAAAATTATGCTCAATAAGAGTTGTATATTTAATATATTTGCAGTGAACACAGAATACTTTATGCATATTACTGATTTAATTTGAATATAGTTTTACAGCCTCCTTGACACCTATAATTTACAGATCAAAACTCAGCAATAATTTGGGCAGCTAATGAATGTCATGAAAGCTGTAGAATCTACATCACCATCCATTGCTTTAATTACATGAAAATGCTCTAGTGTTGTGATGCACTGCTGATGTTTCCAATTCAGGTACAAGTATGTTTAAAGAAGAAATAAGTTTCCCAATTAGCCAATTTAACTGGCTACCTGTTACCTCAGCTGAGTTAGTTTAGGAAGTTTACATTCGTTTCTAATTCTGTACTTGTTTTCAGGGGTTTTTTAAACACATCCTATATATCATGTTAATCTGACAAGGAATATGACTTGCTTTTTGCTGAGCTTAACTTGGAAATCAGTAAAATAAGTCATAAAATAATCCTGTGTCATGTGATTTTGGCACCCTATAGACATAGATTTAACTTTTCAAAGTTTGGCCTCCTATTAGAAATAATTATGTCTCAGATGAGTAATGTCTGTTTCCAGGGTTCAGAAAAAGCAGACTCATGAAATGCCACTGAAAAGAACTTTCAACACAGCATACTTCATGTAAAAGAAAATGTTTGTTTGCTTTATTTGTGTAGATTTCTTTTTGTGTTTTATGTCATGGAAATATTCCGAAATAGCAGATAATAGTGGTAAAGTAATAATGCAGATAGCCTAAGTTCATTTTAAGTTTGTAGGTGTAAGCAGACTAAATATTGCCCAGAATCAGTGTTGGGTTATCAGTTTATATTAAATATACTGAGCTGCCCATTTTGCAAGCGCACTTTGAATAATCTCAAAAAGATGTACAAGTTATACCTATGAACCACAAAAATGAAGCCCAAGGCTTTTGTTCAATTTCTTAGAATCCTTTACCATGTAAAATTTGTCTGATATTTAATTTGTGATTCAATTTTTCCTACTAAAGCTGCTATTATTCTGACAAGGTAGAGGTCCAGGTTCACCTTCATATACATTGTAAACAATTAGAACTGAATTGAACATAAAAATATTTACATCCTAAGGAGAGAGAAATGTTTGCATTTTTTTGGTACCCAAATAAGTCAGTAATAAAGTTTGTAAGGGTATAAATAAAGGGAAGGGGAGTACCCCAGTTCTCTCCTACAGAAAAAAAAAAAAACTTACTATTTTGATAGAACTGTTGTTTTGTCATGAAGTAAGCAATTGTATTAGGTTTTCCAAGACCTTTACCAGTAAATTATGTTTCTGTATGTAAAATAACTAACCCCTTATTAGAGAGACAGTGTTATATGTATTTACAAAATTATATAAGTTCCATTGGGATTATATTGATTTTTGTATTTTCCCAAAATAGTTCTTTGAATTGATAGTCCTTTATGCAATGTCTTAGCAATAGTCACTCTTATGCCCATCCAGGAGAAGTGGGTAGTAATTCTTCATCATGGAAATGCTATATTACATATTTAGTATCTTCCCTTTGCAGTATTGCACTTTTGTTTAACTAGAATACACCTTTGAGATAGCCAAAGTTTTTCAAACACAATTAACTTAGTTTGCCAGTGGAGTATTTCAACACCATCCATATTTCCCTTCCCTCCTCTAGTTCTACCCACATGATCTTTATTCCTTTCTTTCCCCAGATTAAAAAAAGGAACAAATCCCTAGATCTTGTCAACTAAAACCTAATTTATATCAAATCTATGAGATAAAGTATTTTCCTAATTATGGTCAAATGAATTTGATTAACATCTTAGTGATTCTCTTTGTATGTAATAAGGCAATTACAGTTTTCACAGCATTAAAGCTAATGTTAACTTTAACATTCTCTTGGGTTTCAGGACATTTCTATGTAATATTGATTGGGGGGGGGGAGTTCTCCAGCTATCAGCTAAGGAAAAAAAACACATGCAAATATGATTGTGTTAAGTTAAGGGTTATAAGGAAAAAATCAGTAGAATTACATAATACTAAAGTTGCAGTTGAAAGGATATCCAAGTATGTGTTGGTAGTTACTAAAGAAGTATAGCTGGTATTGCCTTGTATTTATAGCCCTTGTTTCAGGTTTCATGATTCAAGTCTTAGTCCAAGTTTTCTTTTGGACATTTGCAATATTTACCAGTTGTGTTTTGTGTAGTCTGAATTTGCTTTCTGTAGTTGAGCAAACGTCTTAAAAAGTCATTTGTAATTTATTAAATTACTTTCTATGATGTTCTATAGAGCAAATGGAAGTTTAATTATTTTTTATTAAACATATTCTTTGACTACCCATGATGTCAGTCTCTGTACATGACAGTACTTTTTAAACTGAGTTTGATATGATTTATCTTATTCCAGTTATGAAAGAAGCCATATTATGAAAGGAAGTTATACTTTAGAGGAATTTTTAAGAGACAGAAATTTGCTATAACTATATCCCCAACAGCATCATAAATGTTTCCAGTTTTTCATTTTGATTTAATTGTTGGCCCAGTGATACTGATGTTTGCAAGAAAAAGTGAAACCTTCTTTTTTAGAACTTAAGTTTTCTTCCCTTGGATCTTTAGAAATTCCAGAAAGACTCCAAGAGAAACTTTTAATTTTTTTACTAGTATTATTATTTCTTTTTTTTTATTTTGAGACAGTGTCTCACTAAGTTGCTGAGGCCAGCCTTGAACTTGTGATCCTCCTGCCTCAGAAAAAGCATAAAAATTCAGAAAAGCACAGAACTCTCAAGTAGCTAGGATTACCAGTGTGCACCACCTCACCCAGCTGCAATGTGAGTTTTAATACTTGCTATTGGTTCCTACAGATAACATTTATTTATGTACTCAAAAATGAATACTGGATTTAAATGTGCTTCTTTTTTTAAATATTCATCCCTATTAGGTTAATTCCTTGAACTGAAAATACTTCCTCTTTATTTTTTTCTTAATTCTAGGGATTGAACCTAGGGCCGCTTAACCATGGAGCCACAACCCCAACCCTTTATATTTTTTTAAATTTTGAGACAGGGTCGTGCTAAGTTGTTAAGGTTGACTTTGAACTTGCAGTCCTCCTGCCTCAGCCTCCTGAGCCTCTGGGATTATAGGCATGCACCACTACTTCCTCTATTTTCATGGATTTTGCTATGCTGCCAAGTTTATGGTAAAGGTATTAGTAGTAATTTTTATTATCATTAGCAGCATACATTTTGTCCTTACTAATACTGTGAATTTTTTTTAATAATATTTGCCAAACAATAGGCATAAATAATTTTGGTTTTTAAAATAGTATTCTTTTTCTTAGTTAAAATGATATAAATAGATAATTTATATTTTTGTTTATATATTAGCTATTATTTTAATAAGAATGAAGTTGCTGGGCGCGGTGGCACACACCTGTAATCCCAGTGGCTTAGAAGGCTAAAACAAGAAAATCGCAAATTCAAAACTAGACTCAGCAAAAAGCAAGGTGCTAGGCAACACAGTGAGACCTTTCTCTAAATAAAATACAAAAAAAAAAAAAATACAAAATAGGGCTGGGGATGTGGCTCAGTGATTGAGTACCCCTGGGTTCAATCCCCAGTACCACAAAGGAAAAAAAATGAAGCTATATGCATACCATTTTCGTAACCTACCCTCTTCATTTAGATACCAAGGCATGAAATATGTTCATATCTCAAGACTGTACAACTGAGTTAAGATTGTAAGATTTTACCATTTTATACTCCAACAGCAAACATTATAATTTTTTAAAAGTCTTTGTCAGGGTTGGGGATGTGGCTCAAGCAGTAGCTCGCTCGCCTGGAATGTGTGCGGCCCAGGTTGGATCCTCAGCACCACATACAAACAAAGATGTTGTGTCCACCGAAAACTAAAAAATAAATATTAAAAAATTCTCTCTCTCTCTCTCTCTCTCTCTCTCTCTCTCTCTCTTTAAAAAAAAGTCTTTATCAATGGTAAAAAGAAATTNAATAAATATTAAAAAATTCTCTCTCTCTCTCTCTCTCTCTCTCTCTCTCTCTCTCTCTCTCTTTAAAAAAAAGTCTTTATCAATGGTAAAAAGAAATTTTAAATTTGTTTCTTTAATTATTAGTAACTTTAAAGTAACTTTTCATATCTTTCCATAAGCCAGTTGCATTTCTTCTGTCATGGATTTCTTCTACCATGCATTGTTATATGTGGTAAATATTTTTCCCAGTTTGCCTATTTATGTTGTTATTTTGTTGCTAGGGATTGAACCCAGGTCCTTGCACATACTAAGCATACACTATACCACTGAGCTACATACTCCCAACCTCTGTCTTTTAATGTGCAAGGTTTTTGGTTTGGTTTGGTTTTTTCTTTTGTCAGGGATGCAGAAAGGGAGATTCTCACTTTGTTGTCCTGGCTGGAACTCCTAGACTCAACTGGTTTTTCTGTCTTGGCCTCCTAAGTGCTGAAACAATAGGTACTCCTGACCACACAGCTTTAGTGTGTGAGTTTTAAATTTTATGTGGATCTTTTATGTGGATATATCTACAATCTTTTCTGGTTTGTTTTGTTTTATTGTTTTTTGGTACTAGAGATTGAATCCAGGGGCACTTTACCACTAAGCTATATCCCCAGCCCTTTCTATTTTTTATTTTGAGACAGGATCTCACAAAGTTGCTGAGGCTGACCTCAAACTTTCAGTCCTCCTGCCTCAGCCTGCTAAGTCACTGGGATTACAGGCATGTGCCACAGCACCCAGCCCTGGTTTGTATTCTTTATATTTTGTCCATAGGAAAATCTTTTCACCCTCAAGTTATATACACATTTTATTCTTTAAAAGTATTTAATGTCTTTGTTGATTGAAATTTATTTTGGCAACATCTACTGTAAAATAGAAATTATAATTTTAAATTTTTCAAATAGTGCCCTATCATTATTTAGTATACAATATCTCCACTGATTTACATGCTGCCATTTATCATAATCTAAAGAAAGAAAGGGCTGGGGATATAGCTCATTGGTTGAGCACCTCTGAGTTCAGTCCCCAGTACCAAAAATATAAATAAATAAATACTGGAGTCTGGAGTGGCTATACTAAATATCAGATATACTTTAAATCAAATAGTTGCCGCATGGTGGTGGCACACGCCTGTAATCCCAGTGGTTCAGGAGACTGAGGCAAGAAGTTGGAGAGTTTAAAGCCAGTCACAGGAACTTATTGAGGCACTAAGCAACTCAGTGAGACTTTGTTTCTAAATAAAATATGAAAAAGGGCTGGGGATATTGCTCAGTGGTTAAGTGCCACTGGATTCAATACCTGGTACAAAAAAAAAGGTTACTAAAATAAACATTTTATAATAAAAGGGTCAATCTATCATGAAGGAACATATAACAACTATAAGCATGTAGACACCTAACAACAGAGATGCAAAATACCTGAAGCAAAAATCAACTCAATTGAAAGAAATCTACAATGAAACAGGAATAGTTGCAGGCTTTAGTATCCTACTTTCCACAAAGCATAAAGAAACAAGGCAAAGAAAACAATATTTGAACAACACTATAAATCACTTACACCTGTATGATCTATCTATTGAACACAACACTGCGGAATAAGATTCTTATAAAGCACACATTGCACATTCTCTAGGATAGGCCATTATGGTAGGCTATAAAGCAAGCATCAGATTTGGAAAAGTTTTCCAAGTATTCCTGCTTCCAGTTCTAAGCTTTGAAATTCATGAATATGTGGAAATTTAAAAACATACTCCTAAATAATGGTTCAAAGAAGAATCTCAAGAGAAATTAGAAAATGAGATAAATGAAAACATAACATACTAAAATGTGAGATCCTCCTGCCTCAGCCTCCTGAGTCACTGGAATTATAGGCATGTGCCACTGTTACCTGGCTTTTCTGAGACATTTCCATCAGCACTGAACGTAAGTTATTCCTCCTGTGTTAATACAATAGCTAGTGCAAACAACCAAACAAAACTCAAGATCTTGTCACATCCTCTCCAGCTCAGCCTTTTGTTCTACTCAGGCCTTAAGATGATTGGATAAGCCTACTCACATTTTGGAGAGCAATCTTCTTTACTCAGATTCCTCTGGTTTTGTAAACCTGATCTAAAACACTCTCACAGATTAATGTTTGATTAAATATCTGGGATCTATGGCTCAGCCAAGTTGACACATAAAATTAACCACAACTTGTATGTTGACAAGAAACTAGATGCAGGGAGATCAGATAGGTGGGAATTGGATAATTGATGAGAGGAAGGTGAAAGCTGGCCATATCTTGAATAGTTTGAAGACTGAGATGACAAATTACAKTTGGAATGCATGTAGGATATAAAAGAAAAGAATCAAAGATGACTCAAATTTTTGGTCTTAAACTGGAAGAAAAATGTCACCATTTCCTGATAAGGAGGAACAAGTAGAGGTGAGAGCTTGGCAACAAAATTTGCTGAATGTTTTTTTTTATTCTGTTTTGTATATCATACAAACCATGTTTAAAAACTGGAGTGGCTATTCTAATATCAGATAAATATACATTAAGCCAAAAAGTTACTAGAAATAAATGTTTTATGATAAAAATTTCAATCTATCAAGAAAGTATAACAGTTATACTTGAAGTCTGTTGTATATGGGGAAATGAGCTGGGTGTCCCCAAGGGAATAGTGAAAGGATGGGTGACAGTGAGGAAAAGAGATTTCATTCTGGCTGAGGTAACCTGGACAGAAACAAAGGTTGAGGAAACCAGTTGTACTGGCATGGTAGAGTTTGCCTCAAGAGCACTGGGTCTCACAGCATTCAGCCATGGCCCAGAAGTGAGACTAGGTTTAGGTCTGCCAAACATCTAACAGTGCCACACACTGTTCTCAGTGCTGGGGAGCGAGGAATGTGACTAGCTTCCTTAACTTAAAATCGTAAGTGGCTTCTGACCACCTTTAGAACCAAGTCCAACATCTTCACCAGGCCGCTGACTTCACCTCTATCCATACATTGTGTCATTCCCCCCACCTCTCTTTTTTTGCACTTATATCACATTCACATTTCTTCAACTCCTTGGAACACCTGTTCTTTTTCTGATTGAGGAGTTTGCATAGCTTTTTTCTCAACCTAAAATGAATTTTCCTCCCCTTGCTTTACCTAAGACTTTCAGATTTATTTTCAGGAAAAATAAGGAGAAGAAAGAGACGCCTTAGTCTACCCCAAACACCCAGTCACCTCCAGCCCACCCCTGCTCCTTGTACCTTGCTCTCTTTCTCTGTCAGCATGCATGTACGGTTCAGGTCTTCTGTGATGCTCTCCAGATTTCTCTTTTATAATATATTCATA